ATTTCTTCACTTATATCATCACGATTTATAGCGGATAAAACACAACCAATTACAACCCCATAAAATTCAATTTAACAATCACACAAAAAATTAAATCTCAACCAAGTAAAAAGAAATCAAAACCTAAAATTGGGTTCACGCCATATACTCAATCAAAAAAAGAAAGGAAAAAAAAGCCAGAATTATAACGCAACTCAGAGACCCATTGAGGACAATTGTAACTCCATTTTTGGTTGCCTATAGATGATGATGAATGATTATCATCCCTGTTAAGAGTTTAAACAGAAAAACACTATTCAATTTTGTAAGACCCAGTACATTCACATTCTAATATTAGACGTATTACAAATAATTAATCACAGACCACTTACCTCCAAGATATTTACTCTTCTCTATAGATAACTTGTGAGCATCTGCAGACCTACAAATACCATCCAAAATAGCAATTAAATACAGTGATTATTCAGAATTATAACATGCAAAGAATTTTTAAAAAAGGAAAAGAAAGGAAAAACTGTTAAATAAAGATTCAATACTGGCATCTCACCCAAGATCGACAGTTCCCGGGGGAGCAACAGCATGGAAAGACCCATGGAAAGATGTCAATTCAGTAATTTCATAATCTGGATTCTGATCCTTCCTTCTCCATTAAAGCCCTCCAACCCTCAGTAACAAGCAGATTGAAGGAGAAGATTCTGAAGGCACAAACACTGTGCCATGTCCTCTGCAAAATTATCTATTTGGCTCTTTAACTGAACTGGTTTGGACTGGGGTAGGGGCAAAAAAAGAAAGGACATCACTTGGGGAGCTCTTTAAGAGGAACTTACTCCATGATGATCCTAGCAGGAAATATGAAGAATCTGATAAAGAAGCAAGGGGAAGATATGTAACACGTTTTATGAAGAAGATACTGAAGAATTTCCATTCTGCAACAAGCAGTAGTACTCTTTCATCTAAGGGTCATGCTGTTGAATCCATTCAATGAAAAGGAAACTCTCTAAGGTCAGTAAACTCTTACTAACTCTTCTAAGAACGATAAGTCAAGATTGGCTTCCATTTTGCAGTTCTGTAGACAATAGAATAAATGCAAGTGCAAAGGTCATGCCAACGAACACCAAAACTGAAGCCATGAACAAATTGGATGGAAAACTATCAGATTCTACCACATCTTTGGCAAAAGATCTTTTTATTCTGTATTAATTTATTCACTTATAATTTAGAGAGAACTTCATATAACCATATACACAAGGATGTATCATCCCAGGTATTCAAACTTAACACCATAAATTTCAGCATNTCATCTTATTATATCCAAACGGGAAGCCACTAATTTAATTGTTGTCCCCCAGTAACAATGCAAGTATCCCTTCATACACCATTAATTTCAGCATCTAATTATATCCAAACGGGAAGCCACTAATTTAATTGTAGTCCCCCAGTAACAATGCAAGTATCCCTTCATAGAAGTTTGAATATTAATGACTCTCGGCAAATTCCAAATGATAGTTTTGTTATGATACAGTAAACTGAAGTGGTTATAACACTTTCCAATTATGTTATGAGCAGGTTCTAAAGGTGTTTTGCACGACGGTTTACCCTGAAGAGATGACCACAAAACAGTTCATAAATTTGCAAAAAGGCAAGATCAAAAACATTTTCCATAAGGCATAGCTGCTGCCAACCTATTCAACATTTAAATAATCAAGGTGCAGATTAGAATATAACTTAAATTCTCCATGGAACGGGATGCGTAGGTTAGATGTTGTCAATACAAATTTTAGGCATTATAGAGTATATGATATTAACCCAACAAAATAAAGCGGCAGTAAGAGAGTAAGAAATTACTCCCCTTTTCACTTGTTATTGTTTATGTTGTCTATGGTGTGGTGAGATTGCCAGGAAATTNNNNGGTGTGGTGAGATTGCCAGGAAATTCAATTGTGGCTGGAGATCTGGGCATTTTTAGTTAACATGTGGCATTGAATTTTCTTCTAGTTTATGACAAACTTTCAGACCACGGAAGAATATTAAAACCAACTGTGACATTTCATCGAGCATGTGATACGCATAATTATGATTCCCAATAAGCTGCAAATTCTTGAGTGAAGTATTAAGTGAAATTCAGCCATAATAATCAAATCACACAATATCATATTATAGTAAGTTTATTCATGACTTCATAAGGAAATTTAGCCCCCGTTTGGCACCCATTTTTTTTCTCCTTCTCATTCTCATTTTTTTCTCTTTCTTCATTTCAACCACACATTCTATCAATAAAATAATATTACACATAAACCTAAAAATTCTCCTTACTTTTTAACCAAACATTCTTCCATCAATCACTATTCAAAAACACATTCTTTCACAAAAATTGGTGTCAAACACCCCCTTAAGATCATCACCAAACAGAGCATGCAAAACTATAGGAACAGATCCTATAAGTTCAGATTCAGTAAAGATCAGTAAAGATGGTTGCTGGAGGGGGAGTAGGAGTGATCGAAGAGGGTAAAAACGTCGTCATCATCTTCGGATGGTAAGGGAAAGAGTAGAGAGTCCATGTTGCAATAATTAAATCCATAAACAAAATTTCACAATCAGAACAAAATTGAAGAAATATAGAATTGAAATTAAACCTTTATTGAGCTGTATGGGCACGAAGGGGTGTTTCTTCACAGTAGCGGCAGTCGGAAATATGACGTCGCCTTTGATCAGCTTCACCCGTACTACCATCGGTAAACCGCCCTCTCAAAACAAAACCCTGGAACTATAAACTATGAAAAAGAAAGAAAATTTTACTGCGAACATCAAAATAAAAATGCAATTCTGGTCCCTTTGTTTATGTACCGCCGAAAGCCTGTAGAAGGTGATGGGTTTTTGGAGTACAAAATAGAGGAACAGGGTTGGAGAAGGGAATGAGATTGCTAGGGTTTCTGATTCGATTTGGATTGGATTTGGTAAGTGATGAGGAGGTGGAAAAAACTGCCTATTTTGTAGGATTAGGATTAGGAAAAAAATAACTATCAATGAGACCGTGCGTGCACGGGGAGATCACTTCTCCCCGTGCGCGCACAAGGAGGGAGAAGTGTCGTCGTGCGTGCATGGGGAGATGGAATTTTTTTTTAAAAATATTTAAGATTGAGCAAAACAAGAGAATTCCAACTAAACATGTAATTATAACACTTTCTTATTTCAATTAAATAAAATCACAACAGAATTAATAAATGAAATTGTATTTATAATTTGAGTAAAATGTAAATAATAAATGTGAGTAGGTTAAATTTTGAAATTTTTTTTTAATTGAAAGTTGGAAGATTAAAAAAAGAAACGTATCCCCGTGCGCGCAAGGTTCTCTACGGGGAGTTTCATCCATTTTTTCACTTTTATTTGTTCTTATATTACAACGATTTTTTTCCCTCTACTTTAATATAAATCCAGGT